TTGCAGGGGATTTTGCAATGATTTCGTGTAAGGTTTGGAAATCCATTGCAAAGGAATTTACTATGCAACATCATTATATTGTCTGCTGTATAAAAAATTGCTAGGGATGGGTAAGTGTCACCAAGAGCCCAGAGACAATCTGAGATCAGTCCCTGCAACATGCCTTTGTGCATTGGTCTTGCTTTTAGAAGATCAGTGAAGCTTCCCTGGAGAAATTTAAGCGCTAATCGGTGCTCAGTGACATATCATGTGGGTCAGCAGTGCAGGAATGGGAGAAGTATCTTTTACTGCAATATCTAAACATAGTTCCTAGCACGGATGGAGGGACACTGACAGAAATGAGTCTGTAAAATTATTTTTAGTCATGTGATACACATGCCCTGGTACATGCTGCTAGCCACAATAATCTCCAGCCTCAAGGCCACAACATAATTTTTTTCCATCAAGAAAAAAATAAGAGCTCAGGGTCCAGCTCTACCCCCAGGGCAGGATCTACTGTGCTTAAATCTCCCTGGACCCCTCTCTGTGAACAGCCTCCAGGAATGGAAAAGACTCCCCAAGAGACTTATCTCAGGGCTTGAGTTACTGCTAGGAGTTCCTCCCTAACAGCTAACCTGCTTTACCTTTGAACCAAGTACAAACCATTATTATTTGTCCATTCCACAGCAATATGGAAAAATAAAGCTCTTTGTAGCATGCTTTGAATTACAAATTTTTACTGGATCTTCCTACAACCTTTTCTAGGCTAAACAAAAGTCTATTTCAAACTTTTCTTACAACTTACAACTTACTCCCTTTAAAGGTCAGGCCCAAGCAAAGTCATGTACAAACCCCAGTCCTCCCTTGGGATACTCTTCTGCTTTCTTGCATTACTAACTTTAGCAAGTGATAGCAGCTGTTCCCACATACAGAAGTCCTACAACAGGCTCTAGCAAAACAACAAAAAAAAACACATCCCCTGATAGAGATGGGAGACTCCTCCCTTGTTAAGTGCTGCCGCCCACGTAATTAGGATGCTTACAGACTATAAAGCTGCCTTCCCCTCTGCTAGAGTTGTAGTGACATAGCTATCTCAGTGGGTCTAGGCAATTACTCTACCTTGTGTGAGTGGTTCTTGCTTTATATAGATGTTCTAGAGCGAAAGTAAAGCATTTGTATTTTGCAACAGGTTGGTCTGTTCTAGTGGCCTACAGGGTAAGTGGTCTCTAGGTCTGACCTTCTAAAGGTTTTCCTAAGCCAGTTAGCTCACTCTTAAGGTGACTTTTAGGTGTCTGTATTATTGGATATAAGTGAAGTTTAGTCTCTTCCTGTTGGTACAGATATACATTCAGTATTCTTTATAAGTTCTTGCTCACATGCAAATATGAGCAATCATGAGAGATGTCTGTAGAGAGAGGTGGGCTACAGCTTTGTCCCCACAGGTACAGTATAATTCTAGGTGAATTTATATTTGGTGTAATTACCTTCATAAAGACTCAGCTAAGGATATCAAAGTCAAAGAATAGAAGAAGATGTAAAAAAGAAGCATTATCAGCTATGTATGGGCACTTTAAAATGTGAGTATTAATGGATTGGTTCAGCTGTGAAAGCTAATTATTAGATTTTTCATCACCCTTTCTTCCATAATTATGTATCAAATGGTTCATGAACCTTAAAGAGCCAGGTAGGCAGTGTTTGTTTGTATTTCATTGTCCCTTAGCTGCTGTCTTGTGGTAAGTGTTTACAACAGTGGTTGTTTCTCATAGTTTCTTATTACTTGTTGTTTTGTACTTTATCTTACTTCAGTGGTGGTATATTGGTAATTTAGCCATTTTACTATGGACTGAACTTGTCAGTCAACAAGTTCAGGTAACAGAATGGGTAGAGAGAAGGGTGTAGATAGGGAATAGGCATGAATTTGAGGTTAAGGAAGAACTCAACAAAGGAAAGGTGTGCATTGGATTGCAGCTTTGAGTCTAGAGACCTCTGAAGTGGCAGGAGTAATGTATACACTTAGAGTAATGCTTTTGTTAAGTTATACTTATTTTCTGTACAAGCAAATGAAAAAGATAATCTGTATATGACTTTCAGATATTCTCAAACTTGTTGTTTGGCTCTAAGGCTTCTACTGAGATCATGCCCCAGGCCAGCAAAAATCATGCCGAGAGATAGGTCTGTGTCAAAGCTTTTATCTGAGGTTTTGGTTGATGCCTTAGGGCTAATGCTTTGTTTACTAACAATGAAGACCTGAAATATGCTTAGAAATGAACCTGCCTCTCAACTCTTCCCTCTTACTCTACACACGAACCCTTGCACAGGAGCAAGGAATAATCTTTACATTCTAAGTAAGCAAGTGGCCTTGGCAGCTATATGTTAAATTCCTGCTATCAAAATACCTTTTACTACATGTAAAGAAAAGGACTTTCTGGATGCTAGTTTCTAGGCATTTGAGCCAAATTAACTTGAGATTGTATTTGGTGTGCCTATTGGAAAGGAGCAAGCTGGCCCTTGCAAGATGCCAAGGCCTCTGAGATGGTGTTTTGCTGAGGGTAGCACAGGATCAGCTTGCCTTGAGTTTCTCTGGCTATGATTGCACAAAATGAGCATGCAATTGTTCTATTAAGTAAGCCACCAAACTTGATTAGTGTTTAATCTTCCTTCTGTCACCATATTCATACTGTACCCCAGGCAGTTCAGAGCTTGTTAGTTTGCAAAGTTTGGAAATGGGAAGGAATTTGTCTGCCCCTTGACACACAGGCTGGTATCTGGGGATTTTAGCTGCTTTCTTTCAAAGTGTTGGAGGCTGGCCACAGCTAAAGCAGGGAGATGATGGTCTGGCTAATAGCATTAAGACCCTCTGGACCCTGTCTGCTCTGCTTTCATATATGCAAGGTTAAACCATTCACCATGCTTAAATTCAGGAAGGAATTTATTCCAGGGTAGCCTGGGACCATTGTGAGTGGTTTTGTCTTTTCAGGTTGTTTCTACATGGGATCTTCAATGTAATGAATCCCCTGCTGTAAAAGGCCTAGGCAGTGACTTGAATCTCTTCTGCTCCTTTTCTGTAGCATAGGCTCCCTTACCATGGGCCTTAAGTTTGCACCTGTGCTAGGAATGTTCTTGTGTAGGGTACATCTTAAAGATTCTTCCAGATTAAATATACAGTATGTGTTTATGTGCTTTGGTGTACCTGGGTTCTTAAAACTTTAACAGCCAGTAAAGATTCATGGATGGGTATTCAGTCTTAGAACTGCCCCTCTCTGCTGTGATTTAGGTTAGCTATGCTAGAGCTAGCATGTGTAGACTCATGCTACAGCTGTCTTTGTTTTGCAGCTGCTTGTAGAGATCAGTTGTTACTGCCCAAGATTGCATTGTAAGTGTTCTCCTTCTTCCACCAAACTGACTTTTCACTTGAAGTAAGCCATCCCATATTGTTTACCATCTTATTACCAGTGATCAGTGAAGTTACCATAGTTGCACTTAAATTGTTCTGCTTTAGTTAAGTTGCTTAATGATTTCATTATGTTGCAGTGCTCAGCAGATCTGAATCTGCAGCATGGGTCCTGAAAGCAATCAATGTGTCGGGGAAAAAACAACCATGGCAGCAACCAAGGTTTAAGGATGTGTAGGTGTTTGTAGTCTCTGGTAATCTGTCTGAACTTAATTCCCTCTCAGTTGACAGGGTAAGGTTGACCCAAGAACAGCTGATTTAGCAACTTGGGGCCTAACCCCTCTTGGTTAGGGGAAGAACATGAATGAAGGGAAGTTATTAAAGGGAAATGGGCTTAGGAAAGCTCCAACTGCTGCTAGAGGTGGGATCCTGCAAAATGTGAGCACCATGGCCTCACAGAAATTAGGTGTGACTGCAGCACAGTGCCTGCTTCTGAGTGGGATGTGAAACCAAGGCTGTGCCCTTCCTTGTGCTCTTGTGAATCTTCCTGGGACTCTGCTAGCCTAACTCCTGACACAGAAAGGGTATACAGGCCTGAATCATGGCTAGTGTCCTAAAACTTGAAAACAGAGTTTTAAAGATCCTTCAGTGTTGTGTAAACAGTGTGCTGTTAAAGTATGTGAGAGACTTGTGGGGGACCACTCACACACTGGTAGGTTGTAGACTCCTTAATATAATGGGTCTCTTTTCTGGTTTCTGACCCTAGGGAAAGTTGCTACTTCTCTGTGCTATGGAGGGTCAACATGAATTCATGCCTACACTGTGAGGTCTTGGCTAAACAAGAGTGTAGTGTAGGCCCTGAGCTGGAAGTGGGAGCAAGGCAATCCTGTGCAGAACTCTGGACTTAATGCCAAATGGGAGCAGGAACTATTGGGCACAAGGTCTGTTTTTTCATCATAAAGCAAAAAAGAAACTGAGATTTATTTTGATATCTGTAGCATTACAACTAGTCATAGACAGAAATAATTCTGATTAATAAAGATGGTAAATACTGCCATAAGTCATCTAGTGTCACAGCTGCAGGCTTGGTATGTAGTACCTCTGTGATTAGACTGGCAAGTTCACTGCCACAGTTCTTCACAGGAGAACTACTTCTGAGAAGGACATTACTTTTATGGGGCCATTCAAGATGTAAGTTATACTCTGTAATAAATTCAAGCACAGGCTTGGTCCCATGGACTCAGTTACAGGTGGTTTTGGATTTTCATTGTCATAAATGAAGAATTTATTTAATCTGTTTCCTCTAAGGTCTGAAATAATATTTTTCTTCTAGATGGTCTTTTTAAATTCATCTGAGACTGCAGATAAAAATTCAGCTTGGCAATTTAGATGCAGATTTTCTCTGAGCTTGGGTGTTACCAGCTCATCTCTACTGACTTCAGGGGAATTACTTCTACTAGTAAAACAAGCACAAGCTCTGAAGCCCACTGTAGTCAAGGCACCTTCTGACTCTGGTGGGCTTTAAATCAAAGGCTAAAAGCATTGCAAGAAGAGGTAGCCTAATCCATGTAGGCTTAAAAACTCTTTGGCCCTAATAAAGTACAAATGGCACTACTCATTGACATATGGCTTAGGAAAATGCTGGTTGGGAAATATCTGCTGTTGGTTGGAAGGATCCAACTTTGGCAGTCATGACACCTCAGTTGGTGAATTGCCTGTACTCACCAGGCCTCAGGAGGTACCACTGTCCTTGGAAGTGTGGCTGTTCATAGAAAACCCAGCTTTGGTCAAGTATGTTACAAGACTCTATGTCCCTGTAGTGAAAGTCTTCCTGGAGAGAGGGGTGGTCATCCATGGACTCCAATATCCTGTCTCTGAAGTCATTCGTCTCATTTTTCTGGAATAGTACAGTTCAACCTTATTTTCCCATACATCTTTGAAGTCTAAGAATATATAATCTTTAGGTTTGTTTGAGCAACTAGCAAAGGGAAACTAGCCAGAGAGAAAAATAAAAACAAATTTTGTGTAAATGTTTTTGCATTTGAAAGCTTCTAAGTACACTATAGGCTTTCTTTAGGAAACTTATCAAAGAGCTAGATAATAAAACAACTACTCAGGGTTTCCCCTCTGCTAATTTGTTGGTAGACCAACAAACCATGCTTGCAAACATACTTGCCTACAAGGAGCTATGCATGTACTAGGTTGTTTGTCAGGGCTTCATTCACTCAGCCACTCTTACCTTAGCCATTTTTTTGCTAGGGTTTAGCTGTGAAACCTCAGTGTGCAGGAGGAGTCAGCAGTCCTTTATATAGAATTCACAGTGCTGCATCCACAGGAATAGGATGAAAGAGAATTTTTTGCTCAGTAAAGAGAATGTTTTTTCCTCTCCCTTTCTCCATTGTCATTCTCTGAACACAAGGCAATAGCAGTAGTCTGTGGGGTACCAATGTTTTTGTTAGTCAGTAAGCAGAGGATCAGAGTAAAGGGTTGGTCAAGCAATCTTTCTGTTATTTTACTGATGGAACATGTGCAAGCAAAAGTTCTGGAAATGCTGCAGCAGAACTGTTTCATGTCACTTTATTTTAATGTGTCTCTGTTCCCTGATTATGAGACAAAGAGTTTTTAATGTATATGGATTACCAGTGGTGATATTGTAAACCAGTTTTCACAATATGCTAATAAAAGCTGTCCTGATTTTCAAAAGCCTTCAGACCAGGTATTGCTGCCTGTTTCCTTTAACAGTAAGAGTATGTATAAAGAGAAAATGATGTAATAAAAAATGTGTGGAAATGGACATTTACATCTATCCAGGCTTCACTGCTGAAATTCTATATTAACGTCATTCAGAGTTCATAGATAGAGACTAGAAGTTGAAGGAAGGATACCACTTGTTTAAGGCACAGAAGAGCCTTTTTCAATCTGCATGGAGAAATGTTTCACTTGAGATATACAGATTTTTTGGAGCTCAGGTATGAGTCATTGATGCAAAATGAAGCAGTATAGTAATTTCATCAACTGAAGAAATTTTAATTGCAGTTGAACTTAAAAATGTTTAGGAAGAACATTGTGGTAAGTTTTCAGTCTGATCTGATTAATTCCAAAGATGCTCAGGACTGTTCGTTCTGGGCCCTTATTTCATGTGATGTAGTGCAGTTCTCAGTCAATCAATACATTGCAATAGTCTTTAGAATTCTGGGCAATAGGCAGCCTCAAAGTCAGAGCTGTTTTGAATTTATTGGAAGGGTAGGCTGAAGCTGATGTACTCTGGGGCTGTTTAAGTAAAGTTATTCTGCTGCCCATCATCTTTGGGTTCTAGCAGGAATTTCTTTCTTGGTTTGTCTCATTTGAGTAATGGGACTTTAACTGAGTAAAAATTTTGCGCTACCAGTGCTAGATCAGGCCTTTAAAGTATTTTCCATTCAGTCTAGTAATTACAAGGCCAAAGTACAAACCAATGTTAACATATCAAGGAAATGTTATTTCAAATAAATGTAATAATCCAAGACTGTTTTTCAAAGGAAAAAGATAAACACAGATTTGAGTTACTCTTCTGGAGTTTAAAATATTTCTCTAACTTGGGCTTTTCCAGGGACCATTCCTTTCTCTTCTGCTTGCCTGCCTTTTCTCTCCTTCCACACCCACCTTTGAACTAACCTTCACAAAATCCTATCACGTGCAGTGCCACTTTCATATTTCCTGCTCACACTGCATGGAGCAATAGTGGATCTTTTGTCTCACTGACTACTTGTTCAACCAAAATGCTACACGTTTGTGCTTTCTTGCATGTGCCTTTCACTAGGAGTCTTGTATGGTGATTTCATGAAGCTACAAAACTTCAGGGGCAAATCTTTAGCTGGCCTGTTTTTACACAGCTCTAGTTGTGCTTCTAATGGGAGTTGTAAATGGCATCACTGTCAGCCTCTCTTGGAGGTGCTTCCTCAGCCAGGAAATTGTAGCCTTTAGCACTGGAA